CCCCAAGACTTATATTGAGAATACTGAGGAGGTGAGGTGAAATAGAGGTTATGTTGGCAGCTTAACAGGTCTGAATGTGAAAGAAGAGTCAATAGATTAGTTAATTGGGACACACAAAGAAGCTCGTTGGGAGAGATGACTTCTAAGAATATTTCTAGCTCTAAATCAACGATTCTAAGAACAGAGAGGCACAAACAAAGTAGGCAACACAAACATAGTTGTTCAACTAGAGAATGGATAAGAGCACTAGCTTCGGAGCTGATGGATCTATGTGCAAACCCCAGTTACAGTTACACAGTTTGATAGCTCTGTAATCTCTGGGTTTCAGGTTCTTATCTGTAATTTGGTGATAGGACCACCTACGCTGCAGGTGCAGAGTCGTTGTACAGATTAAGTCAAATGAGATTACTTAAATAAAGCCCTTAGTTAAGCATTTGACACATAGTAGGTACTTAGTAAATGACCGCTTCTCCATTTCTCTTCAACTGCTAAACTCCTTCCCATTCTTCACTCAAGAGCCATTCAAAAATATTTACTGAGTGCCTACTTTGTGCCTGGAATTGTTCTAGGCCCTGGGACTGCACCAGCAGATAAACCAGCAAAAATCCAGTCCTCAAGGAGATTATATTCCTCAATTACAGCTCAATTCTTCCAAGTTTGGGTTAGAAACCACTGACTTTCTGTTTCTGTTTTCTCCATCAGGGCATTTACTATACTGCAGTGCTACTGCTTTCCTAACCCCCTCTCTTCCCAAAGAGTGGGCACACCATGTGGGCAGACTCCATGCCTGTCCTGGCACCACTGTACCATCATGTCCTAACATGGTGCATAGTGTGTAACAGACGTCCAGTAAATATTTGCGAATGAATCAACGATGGATAGACGAACAGATGAATATTGAAAGTGAGCTGCTATTCACTGTTCCTGGTTTGCTTTATATCTCACTTCCTCTAAGCCAAAAAAAAGGGCTTAGTTTTATCCAGAGTCTTTACTTCTTAGAGAAATCTGGAGATTCCATACAGACCCAAGTAGCATGGTGCCCAGGGCAGAAGCACTTGGCAGTCAAGTTTAGAAACAGAAGCATCCTTGCTCCTTCTTCCCAGCCAGACACAAAAAGACCTGGCCATGTACTCCATGATGCCAGACTTCCAAGAGTGGGTCTCAGGAACGGACTGTGGGTTGGTGGCCTGTGAGTTGTAATCCTGCCTCCTACCTCCTGTATCTTGAACTGTAGCCAGCTTGGATGCATGTCTGAGCTCTAAAATTCTGCCTTTGCATGATTAGAGCAGGAGGTGGTATGGTATTGTGGTTGAGAAGGTGGAATTTGGAATTAGACCTGGGTTGTAAACCTGGCTCTGCCACTACCAGCTGTATTAGGTTGGATGAGTCACTCTTCTGAGCTTCAGCTGCCTCAGAAACATGTGTCAGGCACTTAAAACAGAGTCAATGTTCAATAAGTGGTTATTGGTATTGTTATTATTATCGTTATCATAATTATTCACAAACTACACCTTTCACTAGGCCATCCAGAACTGGTGAGGTCCATGCTGGGTACTGATTCAGAGATAAACAATCTCTGCTGAGTCCCTTTTACTACCAAAAAAAAAAAAAAGTCACCTAAGAACAACTCCTATCCACAGAGAAAAGCTTCATATGTTGTCCCCTCATTTTACAGATAGAAAAAATAAAGCCCCAAAAGGTGATGCAATGTGTCTTCATGTCACATAGTGAGTTAGAAGCAGGGTCAGCACTGGTTCCGTTCTCCTCTGTCAGTGTCAGTCCTCACTCAATGCAGAGGCTTCCACTTAAGGGAGACAGTCCCCCTTTTTCCCTTGTACCGGCCAAAAGCAATCAGTCTACGAGAAGCATCCATTGGGTAAGCACAGAAGCCTCTCCCTTCATCAATGTCATACCTTGGGAAACTATCTCCAGTATAGATAACAGAAAGAATAAATATTTTTGTTGAGAGAAAAAATGAAGACAAAGGTCAAAGGGAATCATGTAATGGGTTGAGTCAGGGAAGAAAAAGAAAGCATTTTTTTTCTCTCTCCTCTTTTTCTCCAAAACAGTCTTTATATAGAACTTGTCTAAGAGCCAATTTATTTGATATGGAAAAAATGTGAGAGCAGTAAAATACACACACACACACACACACACACACACACACACACACACACAGAGGTATTTGTGTTGGAGTTTAGAACTCGAATTACCAAGAGATAAAGGAGCTGAAATGATAGGTTGACTTGGAAGGATATTTTATTTTTTCAGAGTCTCGGAGAACTTTCAAGTCAGGAAGTGGAGCCTGGCCCAGCCCAGGTCTCCCATAAATTCCTTGGGACTCAAGAAAGACAAAGAGGAAGGTCAATGAAGGCCTCAGTCTAGACCTTGTGCCTGCAACACAGTGAGGACCAAAGAAACATTTGTTGAGAAGGAAAGAACAAATGGTACACAATGTAGACCTGAATAGTGGTGGTTCTGGAAGCAAACTGGCATAGGAATTGGCATTTTTACCAAGTGGTTAAGGTCTTCAGCACTGAAGTGTGAGTGTCTACAGGAAACTGGCAAAGGCTGAGTCATCCCTGAAATCTACAGCTCTCAGCACAGACTCTGGCACACAGAATGTTCTCAATACAAACTTGTAAATTGAATGAGTAGTCACTCGTATGAGTAAAGAGACCTTGGAGATTCCTGGGCCTTGGAGATCATTTAGAGCAGTAACCATTAAACTTCAACCACCATCAGAATCATCTGGAAAGGTCCTGTACTCAGAGTTTCTGATTCAGTTGTCTGGGCTGGGACCTAAGAACATGGCTTTTCTAAATTCTCAGATGCTGCCAGTACGGGGCCACACTGTGAGAGCCTGATTTAGTGCAGTGGTTCTTAAACCTGGCTGCATGTTACAATCATCCAGTGAGATTTTAAAGTCCTAATGGTGAGGCCTTATCTTCCTTACCAATTAGATCAATACCTGGGGCAGGGCCAGGAGGAGGAAGGAGGCGGGGATGCAAGTGAGCTGGAGGTGATTTTAAAATGCCCCCAATTTTTGTAGCGTGCAACTGACTTTGAGAACCACTAGTCTAGTACAACTTCCTCCTTATGGATTGAAGGCCTCTGAGCACCGGAAAGAGTAAGTGACTAGCCTAAGAATGCACAGCAATTTGGTGACTTAGCTGAGAACAGAACTCAGGGTGCTTTTCCTTCCTCAGTTTAATTTCCACAATTCCACACTTATCAACCTGTGTCAGCGCTCACAGCCTCACAACTCAAGGCTGAAAAAGAAAGCTGGGTTTAAGCTGAGGTTTTAAGACATCTATTATTTCTTCACCTCATTGTTTTATACAGAAATGTTAAGTGGATGCGTATTTATAGAACTTTACCATTCTAGACAAGTGAGGAGATGAAAGAGACAGGGTTATAGAATATTTTCAAGGCAAGACGATCTTTTAAGCACATTCTCAAACACAAACCAAATGCTCCCCCTGAGTTCTTAAACAGGTGTTCTCCATCTCTGAGTCAATGAATGGGTAAGGGTTTGCTTGCGATGTGCATGTTAATTGCCAGTATTGTAACAGGAAGTGCTGGTAATGTGTTTGAAAGTGGTTCTGTCTTTTAAAAAGATTAAAAGTTTCCTCCAGAACTTGGTTTCTATTAATAATATTTGGCTTAGCAAATATTTTCAAGTAGACAGAGCAGAGATTGTGTCTTGTATCATCTTAGAACCAAAGAAAGTGCCACAAAAGGCCCATAGAAACCATTGACGTCAACATTTTCATCACACGGAAGAGGAAATCAAAGCTCAAGGAGATGGACTGATTTATCTAACATTAGTAGGTGGACTGGCTGGGGCTAGACACAAGGTGTCTGACTCTTGAGCTACTGTTCTTTTCAATACTCAAAGTGTTCCCCACCCATGTCACTTGTACATAGAAGAGGTTAAACCAATGTTTGGTGGTTGACTTCATAGACTCTTGGTACCCAAATTAGGTGTAGCTAAGGCTCCCTCATTTGTTAGATTAAAGCAGAAACTGGAATCACGTCTTTAATTGAACAGTGGTTAAGTGCACTGGCTTAGGAGTCAGGATGAATTCCAATCCTGATCTCACCACTTCCTAAGTATGTGATCTGGGACAAGTGACTTCCTATCTCTAAGCTACAGTTTCCTTCTTTGCAAAATGAGAAGGAGACTAGGGCTGTGGTTGTGGGGAGGATGAAATAAGTAAAAGATGCAAAGACCTTAGCCCATTGTCTGGCATATGGGAAAAGCACTAATGGCTTCAAAGTAAGGCAGCCCCTCTCATAAAACATAAATCCTCAGGATATCTGAGGAAGAGGTGATAGAGAGGTGGGCTGAGAAAGGAACATTAAGGACAAACAGTATCTCACATCAAAGCAATGAGTACCCGAAAAGAATCATGGAGACCTAGAGCTGCAAAGGCTCCTAAGGATCTAATGGGTAAGACCCTCTCTTCCACACTGGAAAACAAGGACTGTTACTGGTTATGTTCACCTTCCAGCAATATTCTTATGCAAACATCCAGCAACATGCCCAATTCCCAGCCAACCTGCTATAACTTCACCCCCTTCTCACCCACTGGAAAAGCAATCACAATGCATGAATACTCTTCAATTTAATATAAGAGGGAAATCATTAGCAAACTCCGGTTCTTGTACTTTCATTAGTAACACACGACTTTCTCATTGCTACTCTCATCCAGCCTCCTTCACTTTACTGTTGGGAAGACTACGCTGCAGAGAGGTCAGAGAGGCTTAGAGTTACATGTTAGGGCCGCCAGCAAGATTCAGGACTCCTGGTTCTTTGTCCACTGTTCTTCCCACCATATCAGCTCTGCCTTGTTAAGACAATTCTACAGCCAACACCAGGTTACAAATCCCTAGAAGTGAGTCTGGCTGTGATGAAGCTCCTTCCAGTGCAGGCCTCTCTGACCCTCCTTACATCCCTCTACAGCCCACCCACTTGATCCAGAGAGTGCACTTACATGTCTGTGAATCTTCTATCGAAGTGTAGGGTGGAGGCCACGTCCACCTGGAGAGGAGGATCCCGGACCACCTTGTACTGCAAGGGCTTACACTCCAGGCAGAGTGGGGTGTCTGCAACAGAGGTCAACATGGCCGCATCTATCTCCAAGTGCTCATCCAACGTGTAGATCTGGATGCCAAACACCTTCTCGCTCACATCCCGGAGTTTGATGGTCAGTGGGACATCACAGAAGACGTTCTGAGGGCCCAGGGAGATGTTCTTCCCACTGACAGTCAATAGTTTGATGTCATTGACAGCCCCACTGGAGTCCCAGTCAGTGGAGACAAAGGTCACCCAGATGGTCAAAGACTCAGGGACCAAGGGGTAGTGGAATTCCAGTTCAAGGTAGCAGCCTTGTGGCTCAGGGCAGGCTGGAGGGACTGTGTGTGGGTTGACAGCTGAATTTGGGCTCCAGGTGCGGACACTGGACTTACAGGGTTGTTCAACATCTGGATGACCTGTGGACAAGAGATGAGGGGATGAGTTCGTCCTCAGAGTTTCCTGCGGACCTCTGGTGACACTGGCCTGACCAGAACTCACAGAGAGGGTAAAGGAGAGGGAAGATCCTCAGTGTCTTAGTGAATGTGCTGTGTGCACAGCACCCAGCTCATCCCCACAATCTGGACGAATCACCAGACATCTGGTCAAAACTACATTCAGATAAGTGTCTTATGATGTGTCGGTGCCCAAACTGCCCCGCCTCATTGATTACTTGTAGGCTTTTCTGCCTCAGATGGAAAGAAGGAAGGAACGCACATGTGCTGAACATTCACTGTGTCCTCTGAACCTGTTTAATTCTTGCAAGGACTCATTTCTGAGATGAGGCAACTAAGGCTCAGAAGTGTGGAGTGAACTAACCAGAGTCTCACAGCGTGAAGTGTAACAGTCAGCATTACAGCCTAGCTTTGTCTCGTCCTGAAGTTCCTCGTTGTTCTCCAGACTGAATGGAAGAGCCACAAAAATGAACTAGCATCCCTGTGGCACTGCCTTTGGTACAACCTGCTTGGAATGACAGAAGGGCCAGAAACCTCCAGTGAAGAGGAGGTAAGTAACGATAGCTTCTGCCCCTTGGGCTGAGTATTCTGGGAGGAAACTGTCTAGAACCATGAATGACAGAGCTGGAAGACAGCCCTGGAGCCATCTTATCTCTTTTCCTCCCCTTCTCCACATGAGGTCATTCCATACCACTGAGCTTCTCTGAGCTCTGTCCAGTCTGACTCAGGAAGGGGAGGGATGGTTAGGAGGGGGGAGAAGGAAGGAGAGATTCTTCTACTCTTTCCCCAGAGAGACGATGCCTCATCCCCACTGATCTCAGCCTGCAGCGACTTCTGAATTTTTCTCTGCTGAGATCATTAGTCCTAGACCCTCAGAGAGCTCTCCTTTGCACTGCTGAGAAAAGTAATCAGGACTCAATGCAGTGATTGGCTCTAATTTATTTAAGGGTGTCTAGCAAGAGATACACATCAGCTGGTCAGGGTAGGATGAAGGATCTCAGGTTGTCCTATCAGCCACATTCTTTAGCATCAGTGGTTGATGGGGGGTGGAGATGCTGGACATTTCTAAAGCAAAAGGGAAAAAAATCAATCTTTGTCCGAAAAGGTTTTGATAATGTTACAGCGTAATAGGAATCACCACAGTATGAAAACTAGAAAGCCATTTTGGGTGGAAAAGCCATTCCAGTGAAAGCTGTAAATGCCTCCAATCTCCTTGCCTCTGCCCAGCCAAGGGAGAAGAGAGAAGATGTCCAGTGGAGATGGAAAAGAGAAGAGAAAAAGAGATGGGAGCAAGGGGGCTGGGGGGTGGAGAACAAGGAAAATTCAAAAGACTTTTTAGATATAACACATCAGAGCAAGAAGAGATGGATGTAACTACAAGATTCCCTCCACCTCTCCTTGGCCAGGTTCATTTATTACTTGCAGCAAATGCTGGATAGAAGAGACCGGTTGTTTAAGTCAAAGGTACAAACAAGACTCCCTACCTAGGCTGAAGCCTTTCTTCTTATCGATTCTCCAACCCAAAGAGTTCCTGATTCTTTTGACTCTGTGGGTTGTTGGTACTCCTGTATCACTTATTCATTCAAAAAGCTTTATTGAGGGCAGCGTTTTAATACATACAGAGCACATTCCCTAGCCATTAATTTATTTATCTGATTGTTACCAAAATCCTGTAAGATAGTTGTCATTATTGTCTCTGTTTGGTAGCTCTGTTTCACTCAATACCATATTCAGTCTTTAATACAGGGCCTGGCACATAAATAGTGAACACAGTGGACATTCAATAAATATTTGATAAGTGAAGACTCTTCTATCTTGTTCAAATATGGAGCTACAAAAGAAAGTGAAGGCTCCACGGAGTATTAGAGCCTGCTGTGCCACGGCAGGTGCCAGGTGAACACCCCCCTGCCCTCCACCATGGGCTCTCCTGGAACTGGCAAGTAATGGAGCAATCTTTCTCCCTTCCTCGGAGAAAATGACTGTCAGTGGTGGGAGCCACGGGAGAGCAAAGATGACAAATCTGTCTGGCTCACGCTTCCATCCCTGGTTCACTGTTAATCAACAGAGGGACCAAGTGCTTTCCAAAGGACAAGAAAGTGAGCTTGGTCACTATGCTCAAGTAAGTAAACAGGACTAGAAATATTTGCAAAGTGTGTGCTTGTCTGGTTATCAGAGACCAACTTTTAGATGTACAAAAGAGCCTCAAGGGGCCCTGAGTCCAAGCCATCAAAAAAGCAGCAATCCCATAATAATACCAGTCTTCATGCACTGGCCACTCTCTGTGTGCTGGGCACTGTGCCAGGCACGCTACATGCCTCAGCTCTTTTCATCCTGGCCATAAGTCTATGACGTTGGTCTTATGAAACTCATTTTATGGAAGAGGAAACAGAGCCTGAGATGGTTAAGTAATTCCTTGGTGGGGAGTAGGATACTATGTGATACTGTTGGTCCAGGGATCATGCCAAGCTTTGAAGGAATGAAAGATGGGTTAAAGTATCAACTATACAGTTTCTCACAGTATCACCTACTCTAATGATGCTTACCCGACAGGGGTGCTATAACACTCAAATGGGATGAGATATTTAACAGAGGAACATATTCACAAGTACATTAGCTCTGTTTTGAAACATAAGGAAGAATTAACAAGGGAAAGCTTGGGAAAAGGAGGTATTCCAAGCGAAGAGAACAGTTGAGAGAGAATGTGAAATAAGATGACTGTGGTTTTGAGTGCAACGGGAAAGCAGTAAGTGGTGGTAAGGCTGGCATGCTAGGCCGAACCCAGATTATGAAGGGTCTTGTACATCACGTTAAGGAAACTGAACTTTATGCTGAGAGAGCTTGGGAGCTACTGAAGAATTTGAAGCAAGCAAATGAAAGCTGTCTTTCAGAAAAACCAATGTTTGGAGTCACAGATACTCTCCATCCATCCATCCATCCAGCGAATAATTGTTGACTGTCTGGTCTGTGTCCAGTGTTAGGCTATAGTCACTGGGAAAACAGGTTTTGCAGACATGGTCTCTGCCCTCATGGAGCTTCTAGTCCAGTGAAAACAGTTAAGAAACTGCTGTACTAATTCAGATAATACACAACTGCTGCTTGTACAAAGGGAACATCAGAGATGAGGACAAATCAGTGTCCCTACGGAAGAAAAATGGATGCAGCTGGGAAACTAATTGGATGTGTGGTGATAAATCTGGGAGAAGGGTTGAGAAAAGTAAAGGGAAGGGAAGGGGAGGGGGGGGGAGGGGGGGGGAGGAGAGGAAGGGATGAGGGAAGAAAGGAAGGGGGAAGGAAGAAAAGTACAAAGGAACTGTTACTTCATTACCAATACACATCTTTTTGTATATATGCTGACAAAATGAAGAGTTACACGTTCATATAAGCTGTCCACTAGAGATGAGGCCATATGTGACGTGAAATATATTTATACATACCTATGCTGATCTAAATTTATGATGATCTATACAGACACCTATTTCATATCTTTGTGTATATACACTGCAGCTGTTGACGCAAATATAACAACTTGGTGTCAGGTTTTTTCTAGATGAACCCTTTAGCACACTGAAATATTCTGGGCAGAAAAATGGGGAAGATATTCACACAAGTAAGAATGACAACAGCCAGTGCCACGTGTTAAATCTCTCATGGAAAGCCCGGGAGTTGCAATGCATTATAGGCTTGCATAAGGGATCTTCACTGAAATTTGAGTCGATCAGATCTAGCTATCTAATTCCTGAGCTACAAGCGTATCATGGTATTGAATACCTCAGAAAATATTCATCTACGAAATATAGTTTTTGCTCAAGAGAAGGGAAAATAGGTTTCTTCTTGGTACAACCATGTTCTGTGGCCAAAGGCAAGAATCTCTGTGATTGTATTTACCTGAAGTTCATGAAATGGAGTTAATGGAACATACTGAATGTGCAGTAAATATCTGTTAAATGAAGAATTTTCTATCCTGTTAATATGGAGTTAAAATATCACAGCTGGAAAGGACGTTTGTTCTACGGATAATAAAATATCACAGCTGGAAAGGACGTTTGTTCTACGGATAAGATGCTATCTTCAGAGAAGCAAAGTGACTCACTCAAGGGCACAGAGCACACTGATGGCCAGACTCAGACCAAAATCCCATCCTCGCCAGCCCCCCCCACACCCATGCTCTTTCCCCAACCCCAGAGATACTCTGGCATCGCTCACAGACTGGGGAGTTTTATGTTAGTTTGGGAAGTCCAAAAACTTAAACACGCAAAGATAAATAGGATGAAAATGAGTTGAGAAATAAATTGCAGAGTTTGGCTCATGGAAAAGTTTATTTCTTTAAGAATATTAAAAGGGTCTGAGCCAAATGGATCACACAGCCTGTAATAGGATGCTCTAAAAAAAGAACAGAGCCTCTTCCTGGCCTGCCTGTACTCAATTTGCATATCCTGAAGGAAAACCCGGGGCTGCTGGGTTTCCTTGGAGGCCTCGGTCAGCTCAGGGTACAGGGGGCGCTCAGCAATTCAGTGGGACTCCACTCCGCATATCATGCTTGAAGAGGGTGAGGGGTGAACCAGGAACAGACCTAACCAATTGACAGTTTGGCTGGATGGAGGTGTGGGGAGATACCAGGAAATTATTTCTTTCGTTCAGGTGGTAGAATAAACCAAGATGATTTTAGCCAGAAAAGTCTCAGGGTAGAGTCTTGCTACTTCTTCCTCCCAAATCTCTCTCAATTCCATTGATTCTTCTCCAGTATCACCGCCACTGACCTCATCCAGGCCACCGCCATCCGTCTGCTGGATTCCTGATACAGCCACGGGGATGCGCCCTTTCCCCCATCCACTCCTCCCCCGATCTCTTCGCCACAGAGCAGCCCAGACGATCTTTCTAACAAGCACACCTCACCATATTCCAGGCACCTGCCAAGGCACGTGGCATCCCCTCACTGCCCTCAGAATAATCCAAACCCAGCCTTATCCGGACATTACACATATCACCCCAGTCCAACCTCTCCCTCACCCACACCTTCCTTTTCATACTCCAGACCCATTTAAGTTCTTACCCCATTATTGAAGAACTTTCGTTTATGTACGTTATATCTATCAGACGTTACCACATTGTGGACTAAAACTGAGAAACTTTACAACACAAGGACACATAAGTATGTGTCCCATTAGCTGTCAGAGCAGTAAAACATCGCATGCCATGCAGCTGCTGGGAAGCTCCACTGTACACTCAGGAAAGAATGAGTGTGAAAAAGGTCAACAGTGGCATAGCATTATTATGAAAATACCTTTGGACTTTGAGGACACACTACAAAGTCTTAGGAACCCCATAAGCCTCCAGATCACACTGAGAAAACCAGTGCTCTAAACATATCCAACTCCTCTCACATTCTTTTTTTTTTTTTTTTTTTTGCGGTACGCGGGCCTCTCACTGTCGTGGCCCCTCCCGTTACGGAGCACAGGCTCCGGACGCGCAGACGGCTCACGGGCTCAGCCGCTCCGCGGCACGTGGGATCTTCCCGGACCGGGGCACAAACCCGTGTCCCCTGCATCGGCAGGCGGACTCTCAACCACTGCGCCACCAGGGAAGCCCCTCTCACATTCTTAAATGTGCCTTGTTCACTGGTGTGTTAACATTTCCTGGGTGGCATGAGTCTCAATTTGGGGCGAGGTCCCCTACGCAGCACAAGCCTCATCACACCCGATGGTGATTGCCCACGTACTCATCTGACTCCCCTATTAGACAGTCAGCTCTGCCCAGTCCATGTGCCCAGCACAGTCCCTATGGTGGGCAGAGATGAGATGGGTTCATTCCTTGCATGGAAGAGACCCATACCGTCTTCTGTGAGAACCCAACGTGGGTTCAGTTTGGGTGAAAAAGTTACCACTGCAGATTTTAGGAAGAACTTTCTAACAGATGGAGCTAGAACGGGAAGGCCAAGGAAATACACGAGCTGGTGCTGGGAGAGCCTCGGTGAGGGAGGGCACAAAGGGGATTCCTGCCCGGGGTGGGACCTGGGGCTGGATGACCCCAGGTGTCCCTTCCACGGCTGACAGCCTGTGATTCTGTGAGGTTGAGCTAAGGGTTTCTCCCAGGCATCCCTCTGGCTTTACATTCCGGATGAATTTGTTTAGAGTTCCCCAGTTCCCCAGTTCGACTCTCATTTTTATTTTAAGCTATTTTAGAAGATAACAGAGCACAGCGCTGTCATTTTTCTCCCTCACTTTTCTCTCTGATCCCTCTCCCTTGCTTTATTCTATCTCTGGCTTTTTCTTTTTCAACCTTCTTTCTAAAAATATAAAGGGAGACGGGGGAGTTCTCACTGAACCTCAGTGAGGAGTCAGATTCTGCTCCCTCTGGTGGACTGGGGTCCCCACCCAAAGACAGCTGGCAGGAGCTGACCTGCATAGCAGAATGAAGGACAGAGAGGGGGCTTCTAAGTGGAAGTCTCTGAAGGCAACAGAGGGCGAGATGGAGGACTGAGGGGTCTCTGCCAGCCTGGCTTCAGGGACTAGACCTGTGCCCCAAAGAAAGAGACGCTGCAGGAGGAAACGGAATAGGCAATTTTCCATGAGATTCTCTAAGTTGCAAGCTCTCTTCCTTCAGGGCCAAGCGACAGTGCAACAAAGCATTGGGTGAAAGGCAGTTTCTTAATTTCTCTAGAAAACTGAGGGGCAGTGAGCTGTACTGTGAGGTAGCACAGAGATTGTTGGCTCCTGGGGAGGCCTGGGAGACAACCCTGTGCGGGGAAGGTCTGGTCATGGGTGGAGCCGCAACCGTGGCAGTCATGAGGTGCTTCCTTCTAGTGCCTTGCGGATAAATGGATCCTGAAAAGGAGGTTTCATGGAAGGAAACCGAGAGGAAGAGTTGTGACACATGTAAGAAGGCCCTGGGTACCCCAGAAGTAACTGTAGAAGAATCAAAGGCTAGTGATGTGTATTGATTCTAACGTGACCTTGTGTATTTATGCCCTCACAGGCTGTCAGGGTCTGGGGCATATATAAACATACACATACTGTGTCTTATCAGGTGTGTGGCCTTGGGCACTTACTTAATACCTCAGGGAATTTGTTTCTTCATATGTAAAGTGGCATGACATGCTTAGGTCAGTGCAGATGCTCAAAAGACTTGTGTTGAACAAATGCATGAATACTGGCCTTGATGTAGGGTTTCGAAAGGGTACAAACTCCTACTGATATAATGAATAAATTCTGGAGTTCTAATATACAGCATGGTGACTATAGTTAACGATACTGTATTGAAAATTGCTTAGAGAGGAAATCTTAAATGTTCTCACTTAAAAAAAAAACAGAAATAGGAGGTGACAGATATGTTAACTAACCTTACCGTGGTGACTTTGAAATACATACATGTATCAAATCATCACATTGCACTCCTTAAACTTACATAGTGTTATATGTCAATCATACCTCAATAAAGCTAAGAAAAAAAAAAAGACAAAAAAAAATACTGGCCTTGTAGGGCGATCTTCAGATCAAATGAGATAGTACATGAAAAAGACCATTAAAATCATAAAACTCCAACTATATCGAAAGTGTTCTTTGCACACCCAACCAGCAAAAGAGCTTCCAGGCTGGCTTACCTTCTGCTTCCCGAGGACTCCAGTGTCCTGATGGGCCACAGGGCATCGGGGAGGAGGCGTTGAAGGCATACTGCACCAGGATTCTCCCTTCCAGGCAAAGGTCACATGCTGATCCCAATTCTCTAGGAGGCCAAGGAAAGAAGGGAAATGCACCGACTTAGGAACAGTTGAATGAGTCCCTGGCTTGACTAAGCCGAAGGCAGAGGTTAAACCAATCTATGTTCTCCAATCTTCCCAGAGCTTCCAGAATATGACCCTGAGTGGCATTCTTCCCCACTGCCCACGAGGGCCTTGTTTGGGCCTAAGTGGCTTCTGTTCTGGTGGGAGATACACTTTAATTCTAAGCAGCCCAGAATCAACAGAATCAACTTACTACCTGCACTAATCTTCATTTCATCAATCATTTAAAGTTCCCTTGAAGATTTGATGTGTGGTTGTGAGAAAATCTTTTGCCCCATTGGACCTCAAATTTTATTCTTTTAACAATATCTGTCAGGTACCTACCATATGCAGGAACCATCCAGTATCCTAGGTATTAAATAGGAAGAAGGCGTGGTTCAGTTCCTTCACCTGAAAATGAGTGGGCTGAACTAGATGATGCCTAAAGAATCTTCTAGCCCTGACATTCTGGGGCTGGATGAGTCACTCTTTGATTTTACAGTCAAAAACAGTTTCCTAACCATGCCATCGAATTCATTTTAGCAGCTTTCCAAGGGGCAAGCCAGTGCCTCAATGGGACCAGCCCAGCCCCAGAAGCAGAATGTTACGGTGGCTTTCCCTATCATCTAGTGTCTTATGTGTCTGGATTCAATCTCCCTTTAGCCACAACAGCCTCTGGGATCCTACTTGTTCTCCAGACTTGGCTCCTGTTTAGGAGACAGTTGCTGGGAAGGGAGGGGGATAAGCCCTCTCCTCAGGTACGAGGGTGAGTGAGCCCAAAACTCTGTGAATCTGAGCAACTCCTACAGAGGGACTGGAAAGGGAAAATGTCAAGAAATGTCAGAGCCCAACCCATTATTTCTCAAAATGCAATGGTTCTTCCAATACCTCTTTCCTAGAAGAATCACTAGACTTTGGCTACCTGAAAGATACAGTGGAGGAACCTTATCTCAAGCCTTAGGGCTTCTGCTTCATAGGGAACCTCCGTAGCCCCTGGGCTCACATGCTTATCAACATCACAGTCTGCTGGTGGTCCTTATTCCTCCTCCACCCAGCTGCCAGGGAGCTCAACCCCAAACCTAAATCTGAACACTTCATGTCCCTGCTTACCTACTTACATGGTGGTCAACATACGTAGTTTAATGTATGTATGTATGGATGGATAAATACCAGTCATTCCAATATGTTGCTAAGACCCATGATGAACCTAGTCTAGACCCTCAAACTGCAGATTCTGCATCCTCAGCCTTATCACTGTAAATATGAAACCATACATAGGTAGAAATGTTATAAGCACACTAATATTCAGTGATAGGAGAATGATTAAATGGCCTAAGGTTAATCTGCTCAGTGCAATGGTAAGCAGTTTTTATAAAAAATACTTATAAAGATTACTAAATTTTATGGAAAAATGCATTAGCTATCACGTTAAGTGAAAGAGTCATATTTAAAACTGTATCTATAGCAGCATCTCAACGCTGTTCTAATAATCTTTTTTTTTTTTTTTTGTACGCGGGCCTCTCACTGTTGTGGCCTCTCCCGTTGCGGAGCACAGGCTCCGGACGCACAGGCTCAGCGGCCATGGCTCACGGGCCCAGCCGCTCCGCGGCATGTGGGATCTTCCCGGACCGGGGCACGAACCCGTGTCCCCTGCATCGGCAGGCGGACTCTCAACCACTGCGCCACCAGGGAAGCCCTGTTCTAATAATCTTAATGCAACAAAATATTATCAGCAGTAATTTCTAGGTGGTAGAACACAGGATGACTCCTCCCTCCCTCCTCTTATTCCTTCTGGTTGTCTGAACTTTCTATATATTTGCAGTATGTATAAGGGACTCCTGGACTAGCAGTAATGATGATTATACAAATATGCTTGCAGGCAGGGGATAAGGAGAGCAGAGAGAGGTGCTCAGCACCACTCTGGTTCCATTACAATGACCACAATCCATGCATAGCAACTCAGAGTCACAGGACTGGCTTTATGACGACAGTGAGATTACAAACATCCTTGTATGGAATCAGGAGTCACGCCGACCTTTATGGTAATTGAGCCTTTCTACTTCTTTAGATGCTCTGTTTTAGATGATACACATATAGTCACCTGCGCTTCACTGAGTTCTTGACACAGTGTGGGTTCCCCATAAACACTCTGATGAGTGAATAAGCCATCATCCACCTGACAATAAAGATGCCTAATTTACACAGAGCTCTACCAAGTGCATTCCCTCATGTTCGATCACCGGTTCATGTGTTCATTCAATATTTCATCTATTCATTCAGTGGATGCTCATTGAACAGCCGCTGGTTGTTAGCACTGTACAACTACCAGACATTAACCATCCAAGGGTGAGTACATTTGGTGTGGTACCTGCCCTCGTAAGAGTTTTCCATCCAGCAGAGGCAACGGTCCCTAAACAAACAGATCAATAGATATAAGAGTACAGATTCAGCATTTCTAGAAGGAAAGCTGATAGATGATGTAGGAGAGAATAATGGGGTGGAGCGTGCTGGGCTTATTTAGATTGGCATAATCATAGAAGATGTTAGTCAAGGTATGGTGAAGAATGACACAGAGTGGGAGTAAAGCATTCCAGGTTCAGTCTAAAGGTATGTAAAGGACCTAAGCAAGAAAGAAGGGCTTGGTCCATAAGGGGCCTTAAAGAAACCTGAGTGGCAAGAGTCACAGACGAAGGAAAGAGCAGTAAGAGAGGCAAGGGCCAGATCATGGGGGGTGCCGTAGACTACGTGTTAGATTACACATAGAAGTAATGGGAAACCACTGGAGGGTTGCAACACACGGGTGACGTGACCTAATTCACATTCTAAAATGATCAGTCTGAATGGTGAATGAAGAATAAGCTGGGCACAAGTAAAAGCAAAGTCAGTAACTAAAAAGCAAAGGTGGGTGATCCTGAGTATGGTGGGTGATGTTCCCATTTTATAGTTAAGGAAACTGAGAAGCATGAGTACAAAGTAACCAAAATCATAGCTCAGAAAGTCACAGAGTCAAAATGGGCTTTACCAAAATCAGGCAATATCCTACACACATTCAGGGAGTGTACAGTATGTGTTTCTAATCTTTGGCATTTCTTTGATTTCAACAGGCACCTGTATCTACACAGACAGACAGACAGACACACACACACACACACACTGAAATCATAGAAATACAGGATGCTAACACAGGAAGAGATCATCTTTCTTACCCAGGTTCCATGAGAATCAAAGTTTAAAGCTCCAAGTCTGTGCTGTCTAATACAGCAGCCCCTAATCACATGTGGCTATTTAAATTTAAATGAATTAAATAAATGTAGAATTCACTTCAGTTCCTCATTTAAACTTGTCACATTTCAACTGCTCCACAGCCACAGTTGACTAATGGCCACCATACTGGACACTGCAGAATGTTCTATTGAACAGTGCTTCTCTAAGGCATCCACTGTACATAATGAATTAACCTCTCTCCTATGCATCTAAAATGGTACTAGTTATGTACCACCCTTAGGAGAACTGAGAAAACAGTTACTCAAAAGTCATTTTCTGTGTTCTGAGATTTGGAAAAGGAACCTTGGTTGAGCAAGGCTGGATCCCCTTGAGCTCGTAGATCAGAAAAGTGAGGCTGAAGAGGAAGAACAAATGGATGAGGTTGCAAAGCCTTCAGACTCAGGTCTCTTGGTCCCCAGTCCAGCATTCTTTCCAATACACCACAGCCCATTGTTCAGAAAAATGCAACCATCTAGTCAACACATGTTTGCAAGACAGATAAAAATAAAGGAGTTAAAAAAGCCAGGGGTGGCCTTGAATTATTTATTCAGTTGCCCATGTGTGAGGACACAGGCTGTGGGAGGATCTGAATATGTTTTTTTAAGGAAAACCCTTGTATTCTCTTAGACCACAGATGTGAGGAACAGCAGGAGGACATGAGGATGGCCAGGGGCGAGAGGTTGGCATTGATGAATGTAGTGGAAAACACCAGAGATTTTTCAGGGAAAGAGAACTTTTCAAGTAGCTCAACAGCTCTGGAAAACTGTACAAGAAGGGAGCTTTTATTTCCTGAACACAGAGCGTGTGTGCTAGGCATAGCGCAGAGGTCATCTTGTGGAATTCGCCACAAAAGCCAGGGGAAGTGAGCCTGGTTAGCACCTTTTATGGAACAAGATGCAGAGGGCCAGAGAGGATCAGAGAAGGGAGATGACTTGCCCAAGGTCCCATAGGCTGGGAGTGGTGAAGCTGAGACTGGAACACAGACAACTTGACATCAAAGCTCGCGCACTTTGTACTAAGCCGATTTCCACCAGTAGGAACTCGGTGTGTGTGGGAGGGTGACAGTTCCATTCCTTTACAACAATTTATTGAACTTGTTGACCTACTTCCTTTAGCCATAGACTATGGTCTACATAGCTGTTAACCCTAATTAGACATGTTTCTAAAATGTCAGTTTTAATTTAACGTATGATAACTCCGTTGTGAAATCGTAGACTGAACAGAATAGCTATTGTATGAGCCTCAAGTACCAACTGACTATAGGTTATTAAAAACATATTGATTGAAGCTGAGGGCACTATGTAATAGAGACATATCTCATTACACAACAATTAGCCCTCCAATAGGTTCCCAACAATCAGATGGTATTTATTTAATGGACAAAAACTGCTTTATGAAATACAAATTGAATACATACACAGGAAGCTTCATTTACAAAACTTCCATTTTCAAGTGGAATCGAGGCCAAGCCTTGACCAAAAGTCTGATACTCCTCATTGCCACAGAAAAAATAAATAAATCTATGGGCTGCTGGAAAGCCTGCTCTGAAGTGTCACATGAGGTTTCCCAACCCCAGCTCTAAGCTCCCAGTGAGGATGGCTGGGGAAGAGGAAGGGGGGTTTCTACAGAGGGCCTAGGGAGTGCACTTCCTTTCCCCGTGATCACATCCATCCAGCTGTCAAATGAAGGCTCTAGATTCAGGGACTGATAGTAGTGTGGAAAACTGGAGCCCGAATTTAACGTGATGCCATGATCTAATATATTTTTTACATACACACATGCACACGCACACACACACGTATACACCCATATTTGTGAGAGCTCCTTGCCACATTTGGTGGCCTTTTTTGAGGGGAGGGGTAACACCTCCTTCATAATTCAAAGTTTGGAAAGACTTAATGAAAGAACATGAGAGCCTCGGATAAGACACTGCAAAATGTGACTCGAAGCCCAGCTCCCACCACCTGCTATGGGCTTTTGGTCAAAGCTCTCCACCTCTTTGTGCGCCAGTCCCTACCTCATCTGGCAAATGCAGAAGTTGATTCCCCTGTTATAGAATTACTGGAAAGATGAAATGAGACTGTATAGAAAGCATTTAGTACAGAATCCAGTGCAGAGTAAGCACTTGATAAACGGTGACAACCACGACCATAGAGTAATAATTAATCATCAGCTGGTTATTATTTCCACCAGCATCAGTGTTGTATCATCATTACTGGATAAAACATCCCCAAGAAGGGCTGGAAGGGGGGCAATCTACTAATCTACCCTAAATTATAGCCAAGTTCCAACCAAAATAGAGGTCAACATCGCAGTACGTTTCATGACCCTTTAAAATCCCCTAAAGCTTGAGCTCCTCAGGGAGTCCCGATGCTGAAAGGCAGCACAAGAAACCGTTTGATTCAGGTTTCCACCTTCAGGTCATGAAGGCATCATTAGACCCACTTTTCAGCTGACAATAAGACTCAGGGAGGGAAAGTGACTTGCCCAAGGCCATACCACTAGTGAGTGGCAGACAGGAGCTGAACTGAGGTATCTTGTGCCTCAGTTTATCATCCTCTGATCTTCTAAAAATTCTACCTTCAGTTCTATAAAACAACACTAGGCACAGGCACAGATTCTAATTATACAAAAATATATGTGGGACTTCCCTGGTGGCACAGTGGTTAAGAATCCACCTGCCAATGCAGGGGACATGGGTTCGATCCCTGGTCCGGGAAGATCCCACATGCTGCAGAGCAACTAAGTCTATGTGCCACAACGACTGAGTCTGCGCTCCAGAGCCCGCGAGACACAACTACCGAGCCCGTGTGCCACAACTACTGAAGCCCATGCACCTAGAGCCCATGCTCCACAAGAGAAGCCACCGCAATGAGAAGCCCACACATCGCAATGAACAGTAGCCCCTGTTCGCCGCAATTAGGGAAAGCCCACGCAGCACTGAAGACCCAACGCAGCCAAAAAAAAAAAAAAAATCAGTGTTGAGCCCTGCTCAGCTTAATGCTGATTCAAGAGAAAGCTAAAAGCCTTAGAAAAAAATTATATATTAAATAAATTTATATATATATATGTATATATATGCCTGTGTATTCATGTATAATGTACCCTTCATATACTATACGTATAGGAAGGTGTTAGCCCGTTAACCAGAGGCAACTTCAACTCCCGAGCTCACGGAGATGAGACCAGTACCTCCATCTCAGAAGAAGTTCTGGCGACAGAGGTTTCCATGTTTTTAATGATAAAATGAAGCTAAGTATTCACCACTTAAAATATGCATCATTACTGATTAATTTCTGTTAGCAATCATTCATGTATCCCCTGACCCCCAAATCTACATCGTGCCTCTATGGACCAGTCATTGTGCTAGTCGTGGCGGGCACTCGTTAAACAAGATCGAGAACAAAAAACACAGCGAAATCCCTCTCCGAGGCTGCTTCCCTTCCAAGTTTCCCTCTTCTTGGCAGGAGAGAGAGAGGGGCATCAACACTTCACAGGCCACACTCACCTTTCAAAGAAGTGGCCGTCGATGGGCGGGAACCACTCCAGCATCACAGAGTCGGTCGTGTGGCCTACGATCTGGGGTGCAAGGGCGACAGGCGCCGGCTTCCTGGAGGGCTGCCAGCTCTGGTACACCAGGTCCAGGTAACAGTGCATTCTGGCGACTTGATTGGGCGTGAAGGAGTCAGTGCAGTCGTCATCTGCAAGCGGGCAGAGGGAGAGATAAGAACCTCGCTGCACGGGCGGGCAGGCAAGAGAATGATGATGTCTCCTGGTGGACCGAGAGCCAGCACCCCAGCCCCTGCCAGCTCGGAGCTGGCCTCTTCCAGTGCTCAAGAGTTAATGGTCTGTGAACAAATTAGTGCAGTCATCACTTCTGGAGACAGGTGAGAGGGAACAGGAGGAAGGGGAGGGAGGATAGAACTGAAAAGGCACGTCTGAGCCTGGAGAGGGAGGTCACGGATAAGGACAAGGGCAAGACAAGCTGCTTTCCACGGGGCCCAAATCCCCTGGTCAGTAAGTCACACATTCCCTTATCCGTTCCCTCCCCACCAATCATTCAGCCTCTCTCACTCATCCACTCATTTTCTGGTGTATTCACTCATTCACCCACTCACTCCTTCTTTTACGCACTCACTCGTTCCTTCACTCACGCCTTCGCATTCATTCATCCACTCATTCATTAATTGTGCTGTTTACTGATGCAGTGGCACTGGCCTTCAAACAAGCTTTCTGAGCATCGATTCCATAGCTTCTGCTCTAAGCCGAGGGCCAAGGAAACGTAAAACATTCCTGCCCTCAAGGAGCTACCTGCCTAGTTATAGAGTGAAGGTCAGTTCGCTGTGTGGGTCAAGGTGGTTATAAGGCTGTTCAGGTCTGTGACACTGACTACTGATGAAGAGGAGTCGGCACGTTGAGGAAGGCGGAGGAACCGGAGAGGTTTCTGGATGTGGAACTGGAGGGCAACCAGGTTGCACAGCTAAGACTGAGAAAGAAAGTGGAGGCGTGGCGGGAGGGGGAGCTCAGGCCTGCAGAGCCGATGTGTCCTATGCAGCAAGCATGGGCCAGGAGTCAGGCAGACGCAGAAGCGGTCCAGGCTGAGTGTCCACGGCGGGAATACAAGGACAATGACGCCTCCTGCACAGCGCTATCACCGGGAAATGCCCAGGCATGGGGCACTGTGCTTTGGACACATATAACCCTCCCACTAGTTTTGGAGTAAATACTGTGATTTCTGCATTGTACAGAGGAGGAAATTGAGGCTGAGAGTCTACCTGCTTTTTAAAGAGCACAGAGCTAGGGGCAGATCTGAGATTCGAACCCAGACAGTCTGGACTCCAAGGCCACGTTTCTAATCCATATGAGAACTTCTTTCTGAGGGTACATGAGACCTTGTCTGGGCAAAGCATCCTGCAGGTGCTTGATAAACAGGAGTGGAGCCTGAGTCTGAGGGGGGCTGGAATACAATCTCTTAATGTCTTTAGATCTAACGACCTTCAATTCTAGTCTCTCTTTTCTAGGATGCGGAATGAAGGCCACGACCTGAGACTTATCCACACCCGCCCCCCACCCCCCAGCCCAAGGAAGGAGCTGGACTCCCATCTCTCCCTCCAACAGCTTTATTCAGCTGCCCCAGGGGCAGAGCAAGGCGCTGTTTTGGCTTGGTTTCCAAAAACACCACTTCCCAGAGGTGTCCGCCTGGTCAGGGTTTCTGCAGCTGGGCCCCAGACGGAGGAGCACGGAGATCGCCACATCTTAAAACAAACCCGCCACTGGGAGTCCCGCAGCATAAACTCACTTCCCCTTATCAAACAAACAGAAAATAACTTCGGGCAGGTGCTGGGCAGTTGGACATGACCTTGAGAATCCAGCTTTGAGAAGGGACGGGGTACAAGGAGGTTATACACAGAAGCTGCCTCTGATCCCCTTAGCAATTTTTGACAGTCTCCTTTCCAGCACCCTGGGGAAGTCTTTCATACATTGGGTGTCCTTTGGAAAACACTGTAAAAGAGTGGCTAGTTACACAAATCACTCTCAAGCCCAGATACCCCCATGTAAATCCTTGGATACCAACCGTTCTATGGGTCCCCACTGCCTGGAGAATAGAGTCCAAAGGCACTTGATGGTCTAAGAAGCGTTAGATCATCAGGTGCATTTTCCTTTGTTACTATGAACTTTGCACTTCATCCTGAAAGCTCTGGAAAAGCCACTGGATAGGTTACAGGCAGAAGAAGGACATGATGGCTAAGGAAGTAGGGGTTCTGTAGTTAGATTCATGCATGAGGAACCTGGAGTCAGGAATCTGGAGTCAAATGATTTTATGCCCTCAGTGCTTCGGTTTGCCCATCTGTAAAGTGGAGATGATGATGATAACGAGAGTGCTTATGTCAGAACACTGCTGAGGGTTATGAAAAGTGCAACATCAAGAGGTACGACCAATGCTCAGTGAACGCTCACTGCCTCGGGACCGGGAATAGTGCCTGTGTGTGTGCGCGCACGCATATGCACTAAGGTGGGCGAGCGCCGGAAAACCAGAAACAGGAAAAAATAACAGAACATAAAATATTCATTCTCTTTGATCTCACAACATCCCATTTAGGAATTCAACAGATCGATACTCATGAACAAACACGAGGGAAAACGTATGTACAAGGATGTCTTCTGAAGCATCATTTACATAGTAAAAATATTAGAAATAACACATCCGTCTGTCAATAGGGGGATGACGCTGTACCTTGAGGCACATGCACAGAAAAGAATTCTAATCAGTCATTTCCAAAACAAGGAAGTAACTTTAAAACTCAGGTCCCTTGTGTGTAAATTGGGGACACTTAAATCAACCCCACTACTTAGAGTTGTGGTGTGGACTCCACGAGCTGGAACGTATAAAGCATTTATCAAGATGAACGAAGAAGAAAAACTGCAATGTTTTTCCTCTCTACATTCTGATTTGTTTGCTTTTCTTCCCCCAAAGAAGCATATTTTCCTTTTCTAACTTAAACATTAGCCGTTTCCATGTCTGTCAATAAAAAGTTTGAAAAATGGACAGGTGACAGAACCTGGTAGGAGAGCAGAACTGTACCTGAACTTTAAAGCTTTAGTCGGAAAATGTCCCTCTCAGGGTAGATCGCTTAGAGGCTGAACTGCTACCAGAATCTTGGGTGAGGTATGGGTTTCTGTTTATCATAAAGGCTCTGCCTCAATTAGCTAACGTCTCGGGTCAGCCCCTCTTAGCTTTCTGCCATCACAGGCTTTCCCTCCTGATATCCGTGGCCACTTGATCCTTGTGTCTAGGACCAGCCAACCCATCTTGTTCTTCTGTCCCCACGTTGTCCCCAGGCAGAAAGGACTTTGGGGGGATTTCAGTATTCTGGGGGCCTGCACCAGTCCCCATGCTCTTGAAGTTGTGCCCTGAGTTTTCTAATCAAACTCTGCTCTCAAGAACAATTTCCATCCGTAACTGGAAGGGCACAGAGCATGGAGGTTCAGGGCCTCCGCTCCCCGTGGAGCCTTGGGCACAATGCTGACCCCTGACAGCCTCATTTCTACCCGCTGTAAAATAAGGAATCGTGATGCTAACTGCTTCCTACAGCTGATGAAAGCATTTAACAAGCTAACCCATTTCTAGTGCGTGAATAACTGAGTTGCCCTTTGTAAAAGTCTCTGCCTTTTTGTTGTTTTAAAAATAATGATAATGATAATAACAGCAACAGCAATAAGTGATTATATTCACTGTAGAGCATTTGGAATGTGCTTAGAATATTGCAAAGAAATAAACGCTACTGTAAACATTACCTAGAGATAATACAATTAATATCTAGTATACACATATATGTATGTGTAGATGGATGTGAATATCTACAGTGAATTTCTATAATTCTTATCACAAACATCATATATATAATTGTGATGATATATGATATATGTTCCAGGTCTTACACTATACATTGGGCTCTGGGCTGTTTTCACGCTAAACTGAACAAATAATCCTACTAATTGTCACTTATTGAGCACGAGTTATAGTACCAAGGACAGATCTAAAGGCTTCACCTGTACAATCTCACCTACTGTCATGCAAGGTAAGGGTGATTAACCTCCGTGGTATCCATGAAGTAACAGGCCCAGAGAGAAGTAACTTGCCTGAGGTCAAAGGCTAGCACACAGAGGATTCAAGTTGGTCCCCACACTCCACACTTCACACTCTGAACCACTAGGTTACTCTGCTTTGTGGCCGTCAGCCATCTGCTGTGCATCCTCAGTGATCACAGAACGTTCTACCATATAGGTACCTTGTGATTTACTTCAGCAACCCATTCTCTTTGGACTTGTAGGAAGCTTCTGTTTTTTCACACGTATAAAAGCACTTCTTTTCTATGCTTGGCAGACAGTAAATGTCTAATTAATATTTGGAGAATAAACATTGCTCAGAACATTTTTAGGACTAAACCTTTAAACACATCAACTGATTTATTTCCTTAGGATATACTTCTTAGAGGTGGGACTTCTGGGTCAAAACGTACGTGCATATTAAAAGAGACACACAGAACAACGGAGACAAGACACTTGCTCCCAAAGGGCGGGGAAGGCCTGGTTTCCACACTCTTGAGGAGGCAGGGCCTGGAGGGTCCTCTTGGTTGGCTCCCTATGGCCTATTACCTTCAGGAAGTAAAATCTGAGCTGCTGCCCTCCCATCTGCCTGGGGATTATCCAACAGTTCAACGTGACCGCACTCACCCGGTGCTCAACCTGGCTTGCCCCATCACCTGCCTGGTGTCTGCTTAATCTGAGCAGTTGGGACTCTCTTAAACTTCCCCAGTATCAGAAAGGGAGCCAAATAATTCTTGCTTAAATGCAGGCTCTGCAATAGAAGGCATGCCTTGCTTTTTCTGTGTGACCCTGGGAAAGTGACTTAAACTCCCTAAGCCACACTTTCTACATCTGTAAAATGGGTGCAAAAGTAATAGCATTTACTCCATTGGGCTATTTTGAGGATTCAATGAGACAAGCCTATGAAGTGTTTCCCATAGCGTCTGGCATGCCACAGGTACTCAGTAATTTCTGTAGACCTGTCACCAGCCACGTTCAATTAATTAAAATTACTTAGGACTAACAATTCAGTTCCTCAGTCTCACTGGCCGTGCTTCAGGGGTTCAACAGCCACAAGCGGCTAACGGCTACCATACAGGGCAGCGCAGACACAGAACACATACAGCTCTGCAGCAAGTTGGAGGACCCAGGAAGGAAGGAACTCGGAGCAGCTGAGCCGGCAAGGTCTCCACCCTCTTGCCTTGACTGCAAACCCCCTGTGCATTGCTCTCCCCAGCCCTGAGAACCCGATCCTGGTCTGCATTTTGAATTTCATCCAGCTGCTTTTGTCACCTCATCTATCAGAGATCCTAAGGAAAACAAACATTTCAAAGTTCGTGGTTGCCTTGAATATGCTTTTGCGGGTGTAAGTTTGTTATCGTAGCTCAGTGAATTAGTTCTGCTGTTAATGGGTCACTGAGCTGAGGGGTTCCTTTAAAAAAACAACATTAAATCAATCACCCTTTAGATCTGTACAAAGGGGAACAAAAAAAGATTTAGTTTATGGGGGTCTGGTAGCTAGTGGCAGCTCCTGACCCCTAAGAGGCCGGCAAACTTCCAAACTCATGTTATTGTTTATTTTCCATGTGCATTGAGCTGGCCAAGGAAAGGTGCTATAGAAATGGAACGAAAGCAGGGCCCTGTGAGAGGACAGGGCACCGGATGTGAGATGCAGGCTTGGCTGGGAATGGGAGCCCAGCGGGAATCTGCTTTTGAGGAAATACCTAGTACTCGGGTCTTTTTTAGAGACCCAAACCTAAGGACCGTTTACGGTGCCAAGGGTAGGCACTGACCCTTCAAGAGACCTCAGGTGTGAACTGTAGGAACCTTAAACTGGAGAGGCCCCCAGAGGTCATCAGCCCAAATGGGAAACCAGGAAGACCCACGGGCAATCATCGAATTCATTGGGTTTCAGGAGGGAAATCCTCTCTTCAAATGCAATCTGAGGCAAAACTCTAACAGAAACGGAAAACTGTGGGAAGGGGGCTCCCCTGGTTCAAGCAGAGATGGAGGCCTAGAGGCACACAGCCGCTCAGGGCAGCCCCCCGAGGCGTATCTGTGGAACAGAGCTCGAAAGCCACCCGAAGTGCTCAATAACCCACTCAGCCATCAGCTAGGCCTCATTTGAAGAGAGGCATGAGAGTAAACGAGAAGAAAAAATACTTGGAGTCACCAAAATATACAAGCAGCTCAGGCAGCTCAATAACAAAAAAACAAACAACCCAATCCAATAATGGGCAGGAGACCTAAACAGACATTTCTCCAAAGAAGACATCCAGATTGCCAACAAACACATGAAAGGATGCTCAACATCACTAATCATTAGAGAAATGCAAATCAAAACTACAGTGAGGTATCATCTCATACTGGTGGTCAGAATGGCCACCATCAAAAAATCTACAAACATATATACAATGGAATATTACTCAGCCAGAAAAAGGAACGAAACTGGGTCATTTGTTGAGACGTGGATGGATCTAGAGACTCATACAGAGTGAAGTAAGTCAGAAAGAGAAAAACAAATATTGTATATTAACGCGTATATGTGGACCCTAGAAAAATGTACAGATGAACCGGTTTGCAGGGCAGAAACTGAGACACAGATGTAGAGAACAAACGTATGGCCACCAAGGGGGGAAAGCAGTAGGGGTGGGGGTGGTGGTGTGATGAATTGGGCGATTGGGATTGACACGTATATACTGATGTGTATAAAATTGATGACTAATAAGGACCTGCTGTATAAAAAATATAAATAAAATAAAATTCAAAAATTAAAAAAAAAATCAACAAACAATAAATGCTGGAGAGGGTGTGGAGAAAAGGGAACCTTCCTGCACTGTTGGTGGGAATGTAAATTGATACAGCTACTATGGAGAACAGTATGGAGGTTCCTTAAAAAACTAAAAATAGAACTACCATACAACCCAGCAATCCCACTACTGGGCATATACCCTGAGAAAACCATAATTCAAAAAGAGTCATGTACCACAGTGTTCATTGCAACTCTATTTAACAATAGCCAGGACATGGAAGCAACCTAAGTGTCCATCGACAGATGAATGGTTAAAGAAGACGTGGCACATACATACAATGGAATATTACTCAGCCATAAAAAAGAAACGAAACTGAGTTATTTGTAGTGAGGTGGATGGACCTAGAGTCTGTCATACAGAGTGAAGTAAGTCAGAAAGAGAAAAACAAATACCGTGTGCTAACACATATATATGGAATCTAAAAAAAAAGTGGTTCTGATGAACCTAGGGGCAGGACAGGAATAAAGACACAGACGTAGAGAATGGACTTGAGGACACGGGGAGGGGGAAGGGTAAGCTGGGACAAAGTGAGAGAGTGGCATGGACATATATATACTACCAAATGTAAAATAGATAACTAGTGGGAAGCAGCCGCATAGCACAGGGATATCAGCTCAGTGCTCTGTGACCACCTAGAGGGGTGGGATAGGGAGGGTGGGAGGGAGACGCAAGAGGGAGGGGATATGGGGATATATGTATATGTATAGCTGATTCACTTTGTTATACAGCAGAAACTAACACACCGTTGTAAAGCAATTATACTCGAATAAAGATGTTAAAAAAATAAAATAAAATAAAATTAGAGATTTAACTAAGCAATTCCATTGTAAAAACAACAAAACAAAAAACTTTGAGTCAGATGTGCGACCTGGGGCCAAAGACTTCAGTCAGCCTATGGATTGTACTGTCACCTATGAAATGGTGATAGTTCCTACCTCATAGGTTTCTTGTGAGAATTAAATAAGATGGTGTATATTAAAGTCCTTTATGAACAGTAAGCTTTTTTACAAGTAGAAATATTATTATTGATAAGAATCAATTTTATATGCCTGTTATTAGAGAATTTATTCATTTTCCTCCCCTCCTGTGTTTCTCTTTCCCTTCTTCCCTCCTTCCTCCCTTTCTTCTTAACAAACATTTTTAAAGCACAAGGCCCTGTGCTAGGTACTGAGAATACAGTGATGTATTTAGAGGCAAGCTCTGCCTTCACAGAGCTCGCTTGTTTTGGTTGGTGGAAAGGAACACTTAAGTTGAATATTATAATAGAATTGGATGCTGGGCTACCATGTGCAATTTTGCAGGTGGTGCCTTACCCAAAAGCTCTTGGTTAGGCGGTCAGTAGTGAGGGCTGTGACTGCCCTAAGGAAGGGATATCTTTTTCTGATTTGCCAAAGATGTTATAAGGGCTGGAAGTGGCCTTGATATACACTAAAAGGAAGTACAGGGCATCCTAGAATCCAAAGAATGAGTCTTTAACGCTGTTACTGATGGTATGAAAAAGGGCTTTGAAAGGATATATGCAGTTAGGAGAAAAACATAACCAACTTATGTAATAATTTCATATTTGCAAAAGCACTCTATTTTTTTCTATAATAAAACACTAAAGGAGCATGTGAGAGTTCTGTGTTTTAAAAAAAGTTTCAAAGAAATAAATAAATAAAGTTTCAAGCACCACCAACTTAGAAAACTACAGCTGCAAAACTAGGAGGAACCTTGGAGGTCAGTTCCAAAGATTCCACTTTCTTGAGAAAAGCGGGACCCAGAGAGGGCATGTGACAGACCCCAAGGCATTAGGTGGCCCTGTGGCAGAGCTGGGCCTTCTGCGCAGGTTTCCCTACTTTCAGTCCTGGTGAGCTGCCTGAAGTATCTTTCTGAGGAGCCCTCAGATACAACATCTTCCTTGTATCCACGAGGTGCTCATGGAAGGAATATTATCTTGATTATTTGGGATAAGGAATTGTTGGGATGAAGAAATCTCAGAAAAGGCAAGCAGCTTGCTCGAGGCTTCTCTGAGCCAGGACCAGAGGCCACGTCTGACACCCAGCCCCGTGCACCCTGCAGAGTGTGGGCCTTACCTGCATAGCTCATGAAGTTGCTGTAAGGAGTGTTGAAGAAGCTGTTAAAGCCACAGGTGTCATTCCCTGGCCCCGGGTCACCGCAGAACTTGTGCTTTGGGGCTGGGTTGGTGTCACTGCAGAGGTCTCCGGTCTCAAAGGAGGGCTCTGTCTCCATGCAGGGGTCACTGCAAGACTGGATTTCTGAGATGCCTCGGAAGATGTGATAGAGGCCCAGGCTGTGCCCGATCTCATGGATCATGGTGTGGGTGTGCCCAGGAATGCCATAGAAAGATGGATTCAAGACAATGCCACCTGCAAGGGGAAAGCCAGAGGATTAGGCAAACTGGGCACTCTGCTTCCTGATGCAGGTATCCCCAGATCAACCAAGGGTAAATGGGGTGCTGCCCAAAGTAACCACAGGCTTCTCCACCCTATGACTCCACTGCTGAGAGCTGTTGCGACTTGCGGTGTTAATCACTGATTGAGTAGGAAGGAGTCTCAAGTCATTTTGTGCAATCCCTTCATTTTTCAGTTGAAAACACCGATGCCTAAAAAAGTGAGGCAACTTAACCAAGGGGATTTCAAACTCCTTAGACGAAGGGGCATAATCAGAATTCAAGGACTTTGATTTCTGGGCTGGCCAACGTTTCAGCTGCAACTTCTTAGGAAGCGTGGCATGCCCTGGTTCACAAACACTCTACAGGCATTTGCTTAAATGAAGCCCTCATGGCCAGACACCTCGGTTCCGGTTCTCATTTTGCCTTCACTAACTCTGTGAAGTTGAGCAAATCACTTGCCATCTCTGAATCCCGTTTCTGCAGCTCTGTACCCTCTGAGAGTGAATATTCATGAAGTCCAGCACCATGGCGCGCTCACCATCATAACACTGGTCAAAACAGCCACTGTTTCTTGAGCATTCGTTATGTATCCTCAGGCTCTGTGCTCAGTGTCTAATGTGTATAATCACACTGAATCCTCTCACAACCCAGTAAGAGGGGCACTGACTCACAGAGAGGTGAAGGAACTGGCCCATGATCGAATTAGTAAATGCGGAGCTGGAATCTGAACCCAAGATCCTTGGGTTCCAGAGCCAGGGGTCTTAATCTGAGTCCTACTGCTGATGCTCACCACAGGGTCCAGAAGATGGCATCTCATTAAATGTATGTTGAATATTTGCTGAATGCCGACCCAATTAACGATGTTTTGTGAGGCCTAAGTAATCACGCGTAGGCAGCCGGCAGAGCACCTGACACACAGCAGGTGCCCTACTTACTGTCTAACCACGTGCTCCTCCAGGTGTAGCTCAAGAACGAGCAGCACCGGCATCAGCTGGAGGGTGACTAAAAATGCAGACTCTTAGGCCCCACCCCAGACCTACAGAAGCAGAGTGAGTACTTTAACAACAGCCCCAGAGGACCTGCCTGTGCGTTCCTCATCTACCCCACGTCTTAAAAGATGGGGCTTTGCTTCACTTGGGCAGATAGATGGACCAGATGTCAGGAAAATCAATGGATAGCATGGCTCTATGTTCATTTTTAGGCACTGGAGAAATACATACAGGCTGGCAGAGAGATATTTCAACTGGAAAATCCAAGTGTGGGGAATTTCCTGGCGGTCCAGCGGTTAAGACTCGGTGCTTTCATTGCTGGGGGCGCAGGTTCGATCCCTGTTCGGGTAACTGAGATCTCACAAGCCACGCGGGGTGGCCAAAGAAAAAAGAAGGAAATCCAAGTGTGTTTAAGGCAAGGTTAAGATGCAAGTCTGAGCAACCTGCAAGCAGTGACTGTGTGCAGAGCAGGATCTTATGAAAGAATGGAGAGGAGCCAGGGCCGTGCTGATTTGTGCTGGCAAGCCTGGAGCAGGCATGGGGGTAGTTTTATCTCGGACTGAACTGCTGGGAGGGCGAGGCTGCTCAGCCACGGGGCTCATGGAGTCTATTAATTCTGAACTGCTCAGAGCCTTCCAGCACAAAGATAAAGATGTACGAGAGGATGTGTGGGGCTGTGTGCACGCGCGTGTCTATGTGAGAAGGGGGAGGCAGGGAGGAAGAGAAATTGAGACAGGAAATCTCTCTCAATTATTTTCTGTCAATCATAATATGAAACATAATCACCTTCCCACCCAAGGCTTTTTCCAGGGATCGTGGCATAACAGCAGGAAAAGAGGGTAAAAAATATATATATATGGTTCTAATAAATTGGGTTTGATTGGGCCTACTGCAGAGGAGTTGCTTATGATCAAGATGTCTCAGGATGGGGAGACGGCAGCCTGGAGGCCAGCTGGAATTAGCTTGACATGGATTGCAATCTTCATTCTGTCTTGCACTGGCTGTGTCATCTTGGGAAAGTGACTTTGCATCTCTGGCGTGCTCTAAAATGAACAGCTATGATAGATAGCGCCAATGCTTCTCTGTCTTTCCATGAAGCTTTAACATTGAGGTAAATGGGGAATGGGAGGCTGGCAGGACCCCTCAGGTATTTCCGGGGATAATGACAGGATTGCAGACTTAATGTCCAGCCTGGCTCTGTCTGTTTCACCTCATCCCCTCCCAACGCTCCCTTTTTCACAGAGCGACAGCACAGAGCTTGAGCCCTGTTCCACGGCTTCTCTTAAAAGGTGACATAGCTGGAGGCTGACATCATCCTGAAATCCTATAACATGCTATGGATTTATAGCCTTCTGTATTCCTGGTCCTGAGCCAGTCTCTGAGATTCACGGTATTATCAGGAGTATTTTTCTCTAATTTTAGAAGCCTGCTGTTCAACTCTTCTAAAACTCTGATCATGACGCTTTTGGTTGATTTTCCAAGAGGACAGAATTTCAGCACTGAGAAGGGTCCTTGGAGACCCTCTAAGTCTAACCTATTCCTTTAAAATCTGAAGAAATTGAGACCTGGAGAAGGAAAGAGTCTTGCCTAAGGCCATCCCCGTTAAGTCACAGCTAAGAACAACCATGTATTTTGGCCCTGAACCAGCAAAATTACCATACACCATGTTAGGCATGTGACACGAGCTAATCAGCTTCAGCTTGCCTCAGCTGCACGCTCTCTTTCGCCTCGCCCCTGTCTGTCTAGGTCTGCCTGTCTATCTGTCTACCCACCCATCATCTATCTCAGGGTTTCTCAACAACAGCACTACTGGTATTTTGGGCTGGATAATTCTTTACTGTGGGTATTGTAGGAGATCTAGCAGCATCGCTGGCCTCTACCCACTAGATGCCAGTAGCATTCCCCCATTTGTAAAATCCAAAATTTTCTCTAGACATTGTCAAGTGTCTCCTAGGGCATAAAAATCCACCCAGTTAGAACCACTGGATATTTATTTTTGTTTCTATCTATTTACACAACCACACATATGTGTGGGTGCACACACACAGACACACAAATTGGTTTCACTCTCTTAAAAACAACTAGGAAAAGACGGTGGTCTGAAGGGAACTAAGTCTAGAGTTTGACTCAACACAACTTTATTGTTTGAAGTTGCAGAGTCCCTTATCTCCAAGATATTGTGGATTTAGAGCAGCTGCTGGACTCTGGCTGTATCACCAGGAGACCAGACAGGCCTGAGGAAAGATCCAGCACCATCACTCTGCTGAGCCCTAACATTCTCAGATGAAGGTACTCACTGAGTCATCACTATTCACTGGTGTAAATAATAGGAACATTCTAACAAGGGGACAAGAGCCAAATAACTGGCAGTGCCCTCAGTCAATGGAACATTATGTGGCTGTTAAAAAATATCTTGTCTTTAGAGAACTGGACATAACCTAGAGAGATGTTTTCCTCTTGTGATGTTAAATGAAAAAAAGTTGGGTGGGAAGTAATTTTGAAGACTGTTTCAACATGGGGAAATATAGATAGCGTAATACTAAGTGAAAAAAAAGAATATTAAGTGAAAAAGAACACATGCATGTATGCTATGATTTCAAATATGCACAAGCTGAAAAACGCATGTCTACCTACAGACGTGTATTGGAAGAGAGCATGGAAAAATTAAAGAACAACGTTTGCTTACAGGGCCTGGTTCAGAAACCACTGTCATTTCTGACTTTTGGTGACTGGTTTGTGTAAACGTCTGTCTTGTTTATGGATTTGAATAATTTGAATGTAAGAAGAGTTCCTGGTGGTGTTGCTGGGTGGAATATGGAGGAACAGGGAGTTCTTACGAACTCTCTCTTGCCTCTTTGGCATCTTTCAAGTCAACCCATCACTGGCTGGGCCAGCACAATGTGGTTACTAGGTAGAGAAGATATCTGCATGAACTAAGAGGCAGGGGGTATAAAGAGAAAGCAACAGATGGAGAGAGCTGGAAATTTAAATTCCAGTTGTGGTTCTGCTGCTGATTTGTTTGTGACCTTGGATAAGTCCCATTCCCTCTCTGGATCTTAAGTTTCTCCATTGGTAGAACAGGATTAATAACGTTGTGATATTTCTCAAAGCATCACTTGATGTGTGAAAGATAAGGAATGCTAAAGAGTTTTGAAAAATTAAAAAGTGATAAGTAAATAGGTTGTTCACCATCATCACTACCATGATCTCCATCATCATCATCCTTACTACTAAACGTATTCCTGTACTAATCCAATTTCTTCCTGAAGAAGTTTCTAATTCTCACCTAAATGCATTAGGGCCTCCTTGTCCCACGGCCAAGTTGCTACTCCTGCCAATTCCTCCTCCGAGGAGTTTGCAAAGAAGATATTGAGGTGTGTTGATCCATCCAGTCTAAGAATGTTCTTCAGCTCATTAACATCCAAGTATGCTCTGTAAGAGAAAAAGAACCTTGGCTGTCATCACCATCCAAAAAAGGTAGTATTCAAATAACAGGTACTCCCAAATTAATTGAGTCACAATGTGCCAGGCACTTGGCTAAGCATTTTATAAACATCATCTCACTGACTGCCTCCAATAATCTTCTATGGTGAGATAATCCCATTTTACAGATGAAAAAATTAAGTCCTTGTGAGTTTAAGAAACTTGAAGACTGCTCAGCTTATAAACAATAGCAGAGTTCAGTTTAAAACCTAGATTTATCTAAAGTCAATATCTGTGCCCCTAAGGACTCTGCTATATGGACTGAGGATAGGGCAACATAATGCGGATATAGATTGAGAACAGACCATGGAAGAGATAACATGTATTCTAGCCTTGGCGTCTTCCCTACTTCATTCATTCACTATGGACCTCGGACCACGTATTTGGCAAATACAAAGCTGTCCCAGGAGGCCTACTTTGCATCTCTACTCAAACCTTGCAAGGAGGTGTTATTACTCTGTTCTCAAGATAAGCAACATGTGGTCCAAAGTGATGAAACAGGTTGCCCGAAGTTGCAGAACTGGGTTTCAAGGCCAATTCTGTCTAGCTTGGAAACTTATGCTCTTTACGCTGGGGCGTGATCTGCCTCCCACGGATGATTCTGCATTCTGTAAGCCTCTATTTCTTTGTCCATAAAATTGGCTAAGGGATATGGCATTTGGGGTAGCTGCCATTGTAGATACTTAGAATATAGACTGACATGTTCGGAAAGTAAATTAATTCCCCACGCTACGATCATCAGCTCTTTAATACACCGAACAAAGTGTTGGAGAGAGAAAGAAATGGCCTTTGGAAAGAGACTGTCATATCCTAGGTGCACAATAAATAAGACCGCTTCCCTTGTGGAGTGTGATTCTCCGATCAGAATAGGAATGATACAGCTTTGGGTCAGTCACAGGCTTATTATTATTATTTTTTAACCTCTTTATTGGAGTATAATTGCTTTACAACGGTGTGCTAGTTTCTGCTGTATAACAAAGTGAATCAGCTATACGTATACATACATCCCCATATCTCCTCCCTCTTGCATATCCCTCCCACCCTCCCTATCCCTCCCTCTAGGTGGTCACAAAGCACCGAGCTGATCTCCCTGTGCTATGCGGCTGCTTCCCACTAGCTATCTATTTTACATTTGGTAGCGTATATATGTCCATGCCACTGTCTCACTTCGTCCCAGCTTACCCTTCCCCCTCCCCGTGTCCTCAAGTCCATTTTCTACATCTGTGTCTTTATTCCTGTCCTGTCCCTAGGTTCTTCAGAACCTTTTTTTCTCTTTTTTTTAGATTCCATATATATGTGTTAGTATACGGTATTTGTTTTTCTGTTTCTGACTTACTTCACTCTGTATGACAGACTCTAGGTCCATCCACCTCACTACAAATAACTGTTTCATTTCTTTTTTATGGCTGAGTAATATTCCACTGTATATATGTGCCACGTCTTCTTTAACCATTCATCTGTCGATGGACACTTAGGTTGCTTCCATGTCCTGGCTATTGTTAAATAGAGTTGCAATGAACACTGTGGTACATGATTCTTTTTGAATTATGGTTTTCTCAGGGTATATGCCCAGAAGTTGGATTGCTGGGTCGTATGGTAGTTCTATTTTTAGTGTTTTAAGGAACCTCCATACTGTTCTCCATAGTGGCTGTATCAATTTACATTCCCACCAACAGTGCAAGAGGGTCCACACCCTCTCCAGCATTTATTGTTTGTAGACTTTTTGATGATGGCCACTCTGAATGGTGTGAGGTGATACCTCACTGTAGTTTTGATTTGCATTTCTCTAATGATTAGCGATGTCGAGCATCCTTTCATGTGTTTGTTGGCAGTCTGTATATCTTCTTTGGAGAAATGTCTATTTAGGTCTTCTGCCCATTTTTGGATTGGGTTGTTTGTTTTTTTGATATTGAGCTGCATGAGCTGCTTGTACATTTTGGAGATTAATCCTTTGTCAGTGGCTTCATTTGCAAATATTTTCTCCCATTCTGAGGGTTGTCTTTTCATCTTGTTTATGTTTTCCTTTGCTGTGCAAAAGCTTTTAAGTTTCATTAGGTCCCATTTGTTTATTTTTGTTTTTATTTCCATTTCTCTAGGAGGTGGGTCAAAAAGGATCTTGCTGTGATTTATGTCCTAGAGTGTTCTGCCTATGTTTTCCTCTAAGAGTTTTATAGTGTCTGGCCTTACATTTAGGTCTTTAATCCATTTGGAGTTTATTTTTGTATATGGTGTGAGGGAGTGTTCTCGTTTCATTCTTTTACACGTAGCTGTCCGGTTTTCCGAGCACCACTTATTGAAGAGGCTGCCTTTTCTCTGTTGTATATTCTTGGAGGCATATTATTTAATGGATCGTTTTCTCAATTGACAGAGGGATCTTGCTCACCCGTGTGCTTCTTTCAGCCCCATTTTATGTCTGCCATCTTCTTTCTTAGGAATCCTTGTGAACAGCTGGTAAGCATTTCTTGAGTAAAGTTGGAAATGAATCAATGAATAAAAACATACATGAATAAGCAAGCAGGCAGCCTGATGTCGTAGGTGAGATAAAGCCTCTGAGTAATGATATTTAACGTTTGTTGGGCCCTTCCATGTGGTCTGACTTTACAAGGATTATCACCTTTAATCTTCTCAATAACACCGAGGTAGGTGGTATCATTATCCCCATTTTCCAGAGGAGGAAAAAGAGGCTTACAGAGCCTTCGTACTCGCTCAGGTCACACAGCTAGTTGGGAGAGTTTCCCTTTCTCCCAGTGTGGTTTCTCACGGGGGTTTGGGGCAGAGCCTGGCCAGTAGAACACTAACGATGCTGCCTTTCTCTTTCCCTCCTGGAATCACAGAAGGGGATCCCACATATGAAAGAGTGAAGTCAGAGATCCCCAGCAGGGCCTGCAAGACCCTGTTTCCCCCTTTAGCTTCTTCTCCCTCTGTTCTCTCTCTCGAATTTCTCACTGTGTGTTGTCAGCACCCCCCGCCGGCCCCCCCAAGATGCAGTGGCTTTATCCTCAGTGCCTTTACTCACGCTGTTCCCTCTGTCAGGGACTTGGCTCCCATTTTATCCCCTGACGAACAAATCCAAAGTCCATTCTGGTACCACTCCTCCAGGAAGACTTCCCTGAGTCCCATCTCACCTCCACCCCCTTTACCATCTCTGTACTCATCTACCTCCTATGAGTACTCGCTCTCACACCATTCCAAACAGTCTACCTGTCTGTATCTACCACTGATTGTGGCTCCCAGCGGGCAGGGAATGTGCCTAATTCATCTCTGTTTACCCAGTTCTCTGCACAGGGCTTGACACTGGGCAAGCACTCAGGAGATGTTGATGGAGCTGAATTTACATTGGGAAATAGAAAACCTAAAACATTTAGGTCCCAGTCTCAGCTTCAGCACTTCCTTCCTATGAGGCCTCAGTTTCCTTATCAATATACTGGGATTAATAACAGCTGTCTGGTGCTTCCCAGGACATTTCTATGGGTCACAAACCTACACCTCCACTCCGACGGCAATAAGATATGTCTGAGACCTTACAGTGCACTCATGGCCGCCCACTGATCAAGAGCCCATGATAGTCAGGTGACGATAATTTTCGCAGCTTTTCCAAAAAAGGTGAGCATGAGTTGGAGACACAAGGAAGGCCTAGAAAGAGCACATCTGTGTATAGGTTGAGCTGGCTAGTAAGTCCAAGGACAGCCACGGAAGCTGAAATATTGACCCGAAATTTTGCCGCTATACCTCCTCTCCCCAGAGAGCCCACCTTCAGCTCTTTAGGCTAGAAGCCTCATAAGGAGTTTGAATGAGTTTTCTGATCCGAGTAGGGACGAGGAATGAGAAAGACAGCATGCAGTAAGCTTTTGCTGTGTGCCAGCCCCTGTGCTAGCTACACCTGTTTTCCCATCTCTTTGCAGTATTTTTGTTTTGTTTTGTTTTGTTTTGCGGTACGCGGGCCTCTCACTGTTGTGGCCTCTCCCGTTGCGGAGCACAGGCTCCGGACGCGCAGGCTCAGCGGCCATGGCTCACGGACCCCGCCGCTCCGCGGCATGTGGGATCTTCGCGGACCGGGGCACGAACCTGCGTCCCCTGCATCGGCAGGCGGACTCTCAACCACTGTGCCACCAGGGAAGCCCTCTTTGCAGTATTTGAAGTCACGCAGCAGAGTGGGTAGGATGGCTCATTCTCAAGCCAGAGTCCTGGGTTTGAATCCAGCTCTTCCACTGGATGTCTGGGTCACCTTGGGCTAGGTCACCTTGGGGTATTTACTTAACTTCCTGCACCCCAGTTTCTTCAAACACAAAACAAGGATGATAACAGTATCTACCTCATAGAGTTGTTCTGAGGATTTAGGACGTTAATAAAGAAAGTGTAAAGGGCTTAGAATAATACCTGGCACGTAGAAACCCCCGGGAAATGTTTAGCAATTCCTATTATTTATCCCCATCTTGCAGATGAAGGAACAGGGGTTCAGAGATCACATAAATACAGACAAGGCCAAGTCCAAATCTAGATGTGTCCAATTCTTCCCTCAACCTCACCCTCAAGTCCAAGCTCACTCAGGGCCACTGTGAAAGGAAACAATGTGTGGGAGGAGAATGAAAACACAGAGAAGCCAAAATTTTCCTGGATCGGCCCTTTCCACATTATTTATTATTTTCTAATTGATTTGTCCATTTCCATCAAGTGTTCTCTCAGGCAGAGAACACAAATGCTATTAGAGAAAGTCACCTCTTTGCCCCTTTGCTCCGGGCTGAGAAAGCTTCAGGAGAGGAAGACAGGGGTGGGGCAGGGGCAGGGAGATGTTTTAATTGGTTGTTTATTCTCATATAATTGCAGAAACCAATCTTTTCAGGGGGTGGTATTTGTCCTGGCCCAAGGCAGAGATGTGGGATATTGAGGCCTCTCCCTTGCTTGTATGTGGGTGTTTTTTTCTTCTTCACACTTTGAGAAGCCCCCATTTC